ACAGCTCTGAGAGAACTTGCGACTGACCCAAGGTCACACCAGCAGCTGCATGTGGAGGAGTGGGGAATCAGACCCGGTCTTCCCAGATTAGAGCCCGTGCTCTTAACCTCTGCACCGAACTGACCACAGAGGGGAAGCCCGATCCTACGGCCAGCTACCAGGCTCTTAAATTGTGGTTCGAGGTTCAAAGCATGCCACGTGCACTGGCCCACTATCGTTACGCGAACCGATGGCTTATTTTTTTCTATGCATTTATTTGGCCAGAGCTGACTCAGGAGGACCAGTTATTTCGATCTGTGCAAAATTAGAGACTCCGCCAGAGCAGCACCTTGGAAAGAGGTGGGAAAGAGGAGGAAGCGCTGGCACAAACGCCAGGACAGCCCAGCCTAAGTGCGGAAACAGATACAAAAACTCAGGAGCTTGACAATCGGGGGAGGGAGAAGAAATGGGTTTCTAGTCCTCAGTGTTTCGGAGGGCAGCCGTGTCGGTCTGCAGCACAACAGCCAGCAGCGCCATAGAAACCAACAAGATTTTCAGGGGATGGGTTTTCGAGTCAACACTCCCTTTGACAAATACTGTCAAGTATCTGATGACGGAGGCTTTGCCTCCCAAAAGCTTAAACTCTGAAATTCCTTTTGGGCGCTACTGGTCTTGAATCTAGCTAGTCCTCACTGTATTCCTCATTTATTTAAAGGAATATTTATACACCTCCTTTCCCACCGAGTATGGCTGCCAAGTCAGCCTTCTAAGCATGCCCGAGGAAACCCTTGAAGAGCCAGTTTGGTGTAGTGGTTAAATGCGTGGACTCTAACCCGGGAGAACCAGGTTTGACTCCCCACTCCGCCACTTGCAGCTGCTAGATGACCTTGGGCAAGCCACAGTTCTGTCAGAGCTGTCCTTGAAAGGGCAGTTCTGGAAAGAGCTCTCTCAGCCCCGCCTACCTCACAGGGTGTCTGTCGTGGGGAGGGGAAGGGAAAGGAGTTTGTAAGCCGCTCTGAGACACCTTTGAGTAGTGAAGGGCGGGGTATAAATCCAATCTCCTCCTCCTCCTCCAGAAGGGAATGGGACCAGGCAAGATTTCTAGTGCTCAGAAGGCACCCCACAATGCTCAAGGCTACCTGCAGAAAACGGCGCCGAACCCAGAGCAGGTCTGGTAACAAGACGGTGCAGGGTTCTTAGGGCTCAGCATAATTTGCCCCAAGTTCAACCCTTGGCTTCTCAGGACAAGAGGTCTCAAGTGCTGGGCGAGGCCTTCCCTCTTCCGAGAGCCGCTGGCAACTGCCATTGAGATGTCTGAGCTGTACGGGCCGACTCCGCGTAAGACAGCCCCATCTGTTCACCCACCTCAGAGACTTTGTATTCGCAGGTCAGCTTCTTGCTCTTGATGCCTTCGTTCAGCGTGAGGATGAAGCCCATGTAGTCTGCGTAAGCCTGTAAAGAAGGGAAGGGGGGCTGAGAACAGACGTGGCCACAAGGAGGAGGCATTAGCCAAACTCAGCCGAGAGTCTCCGAAGGCTGGTATGAATTCAGACTCATTGGTGAGCAACGGGCCACCAGTCACCCGGGTGTGAGATTCACGGGGAACCAGATGTGAGGGAAAGTTAACCCACTCTTGGTTCCACAGCCAAGAGTTGAGATTTTGGCTATGGGTTTTTTTTGAGGCTTAAATGGCCATTAGCCTTTCACCCCACTCCTCCTCCACAGAGCACAAGGCAGGGCACATGTTGTCTCTGGTGATATCTGAATGCAGGTCCTGGGCAAGCTGGAATTAGTTTGCTTTGGGACAAACTAGGATTCTGAGCCATGGTTTACTCCCAGCATAGAATCAAATCAAACCTTTAATGGCATACAGAATAAATTAGGACAGATTACAGCATTGTCAGAATAAGAGTGATAAAAAGATTTATACAGTTTTAAAATTTAAATGTAACATCGAATCATCACTGTGTCTTATCCTGATGGATCTTGGTGGCACACTGAAGAAATCAAACAACCTTCTCAGTTACGCCAGGAAAAACATCATTCAAAATATATCGGATGATCAGACAATTCCATCTTATTTTCAACAATAGGGTCAAGATACTTGAAACGAATGTTTGCATAAAAAGGGCAATAAAAAAAGGATATGCGAGATTGTTTCGATACATTTTAACTTACACAGGCAAAGTCTAGCAGAATATTAGTTGTTGTAGATTTTCCGGGCTGTATGGCCATGGTCTTGGCACTGCAGTACTTGACATTTCACCAGCAGCTGTGACCGGCATCGTCAGAGGTATAACACAGAAAGATGGAGTACTCTCTGTGTCAATGTGTCATTTACTCCATCTTTCTGTGTTATACCTCTGACGATGCCAGTCACAGCTGCAGGCGAAATGTCAGGTACTGCAATGCCAAGACCATGGCCACACAGCCCAAAAAATCTACAACAACTAACGAACTCCAGCCGTGAAAGTCTTCGACAACATATTCTAGCAGAATAGGCTACCTTTTGAAATCTGCCATATAGAACTGCTGATGGCATGACACTAAATCTGGCCAGAGAGAAGGCTCTACGCTGTTGGGGATTATTCAGATAGTAAAGGTAAGGGGCCACGTGATCTACATTGAATGTAATCCCTAACCTCAAAGGAGAGCAAGTTTCATTAGCAGCACTGTTAAGATTTTGTAGTTCAATATCCAAAATTCTACATTTGATCGCTCAAAATGCTGATGAGCATAAGGAGTCAGTCAAGGATAAGCCAATTGTGCTGATCTTGTTCTCAATACAGTAGAACCCTGGTTTGTAGGGAGAAAACCACTCCCAGCTTGCCCAGGTAGCCACATGTGGATGTTGCGGCAATCCACGGTACTACAGAGGGGTGCTGCGTCTGTTCTCAAGGCATTATTGGCTTCTTTGTACCTCAGCTCCCCCATCTCCGGTGTGGGGAATAAGAACACTGGCCTACCTTACAGGGATGCTGTAGAGACTACTGTAAGCGGATTCATGTACGTTTTTAATTGATGCACAGGAATCATCAATGTTATTAATGAAGTCTGCATTCCTAAAAAAGGGAGCCCTTAGGATGGCCTTAAAAAGTAACCCAAACTTACATTACCCTTTGCATGACCCAGGACCATATAGCTCTTGACAAAGATGAAGAACGCTGAGAACATTTGTCACTGCCTGGGAGGGAGGGAGGGAACAGGGCAGCGACTCATCTGAACATGGACCCACAGCACGGCTTCCTAAATAGAACTGAACCGTTAAACCACATTGGTGGTCTAGACCAGGTGTCCTCAACCTTTCTGAGCCTGTGAGGCACCTTTGGAATTCTGGCACAGAACAGTGGGCACAACTTTAATAATTATGTATTGTTTGGTTGGGAGTTTAAGGAGAAGATAATAAATAGTTTTCTAAGCAACCACCGGCAGTGACGGGGGAAAACCTTTCTCTTAATATATACATATTAAGCAGACATTGCCAGTGACACTGTGTATAATATGATGTAATACTATGTATAGTGTTTCAAAATGTATGAGATTTTGGTTGCAAACATGTTACGTGGAAAGTAATAAAATATTAATTCAAAAAAAAAAAAAAACCAGTGGGCACAACCGCAAAATGGTGCCTATGAAATGGCTGCCATAGTTTACCTTCAGTCACACAGTGAAGAGCCTTGTGCGGTGGTAGCGGCTGCTGCCAAAGCAACATTTTTAAAAATCTGCACAGCCAATGAAATCTCTAACAGCCAATCAGGGGCTCTACTGGGCAAAAGCCCCACCTGCCCCCACCCACTTTCTAAAAACAGCTGGTGGGCACCAGGAAAGATGCTGGTAGGGTCTAGTCCCTTGCATCAAATTCCCAAGTCTCCGCTTGTCATTGGGCCCTGCCCTATTGTAACAGTGCCAACAAAACTGAGCAAAGTCAATTCCGCACCTGAGAGCGTTTCCACTTGGCCATGTCGGGAACCATGTTGATCTCCTTCTGGGGGATCATGAATTTTTGATCGGGAGGCGGCAGCGCCTCCTTGGGCAATTCTGGAAGACAGAGGAAGAAGTGGTCAAACACAGCTAGGACAGAAAAGGCCTCTCTGATCATCTCAACTCTTTTGCGCATTTGGAGGGAAACTGGTGCACATCAAGCCAAGAAGCATCCTGTTCTGACTGGAAACCACCAAACCACTAATCAAGCCAAGAAGCGTCCTGTTCTGACTGGAAACCACCAAACCAAAGTTACTTCTGGATTTTAGAGCAATGAAATAAGAGAGATTATTTAAGAGAGTCAGTTGTATGATCTACACCTCAGGAATTCATTAAGCACTCTCTTTGTGCTGAGACGGCCTTTATTCAGCCTCAGGACTGTCCGCACCAGACGTGTACTAGTTTAGGCACCCGCTCACACATCAATGGGCCACTTCTTTCTATGAGACCGAGGCGACACATTCGCAAACGAGCAAGTCCCACTGAACGCAATGGGATTTACTTCCACATATACACGCTTAGATTTGCGCTCTAAATCTGGGATTTGGGGCCTCAATTGAATCAAATGTCCCGTGTCCCAAACTGGAACTACAAGAAACTCTAGATTAACTTTGTTTTTAAACAAGGCACAACTCCATCCGCCTGGAAATTTTGTTTTGCCAGCAAATCGCTGTATTGCACAACTTATCAGGAACATTTTAATAAGATGCCTCTAGAAGGTCCTGAGATGCTTCCAGTCACCCAATGCCTGGATGTGCTCAATGATGCAGGAAACAGAACATTTTCACCCTAAGTGCTTACCTATTTTTGATATGTGCACAGCACACCTATGCTCCGTATCTTCACCTAGTTCCTTCCAACTATCATGGCTTTGTCTCCCACCCCACAAGAACCATGGAAATTGTGGTTCTGCAAGCATACTGGTTTAGGAAGAAGCAAAGGCCTTCTGCTAACGACCCAAAAGCCTGGTTATTTTCACTCAGAGGTCCCCCATCTCTCCAGGGTGGGACTAGGTGCAGCTGTCCCCTCCGTCCATTTTCTCACAGCTGTGCGAGGAAGGGACACGTCACTCTCTGCTGTGTCCCTGTGACATGCAACTGAAAGAGAGCCACAGGGGAGATGTCCACGGAACCCTGTGTCTAAGGACCCCAAGAGCCCCCAGACAGCCCCGTGAATACGTTCTCTGCAAAGAGGTACCCAACAGAGAGAAACTGGTGCACATACACAGCATACACAGCAGAAGCACAAGCCAAATGAGAAGGAGAAAGGGGATCAATGTGATTGCATGTCCTTGCTTTGGAGGGAGAAAAAAGTCCCCATAAACCAATTTCACTTTAAAAGCAGCCCAAGCAAAAAGACAAACCAGGCCAGCGTTTTCGGACTGCGTGGGAAGCACAAAGCGAGTAAGCATTCGGCAGCCCCGGGAGGCCTCCGCACAGCAGCCTGGAGGAAAATGCAGATTGCCATCCCGCTGAGTCAGCGGGACTCTGCTTCCTCCTCCTCCTCCTCCTCCTCCTCCTCCTCCTCCTCCCCCCCTTGCCTAGGTACACAGTTCATTTTTCCTGATGAGCCAGGAAGCAGGTCTGGCCCCGGAGCTCCTGTCAAAAGCACCCAAACACGCACAGGGAGGGATGCTTCCGTTCTAAAGTTACCTGCTTCCAAGGATGAATGGCTACGCTCAGCATTTGTGGAGGGAGGGGAGGCGGCAGCCCAAGGAGCTCTGTTTCAAGGTGAAAACAGTCACAATGCTGTAAGGAAGGGCAAATCCAGATGCACCATCAGGAGGGACAAGACAGACAAGGATGGAGAGGCCTTGCACGTGAAATCTAAGAGGGTTTCAAAGTCCCCTTTCCTTGCTTACCCTGCAGTCCACAGTCAATCTCTCAGTAATTCTTTCCAGTGAATCCCCAAGGCCATCAATGAGGCCAACAGGGCAGAATCAAGAGGAAGCGGGCAGCTGGGTCTCTGTCCAGACCTAGCTGAAAGCCTCGTACCCCCTTCCCCTCGGCCCTGCTGGCTTCGCCTCCCATTACTGAGGCCATAAGATTTTTTCAGGAAGCAACCAGCTGAGATGGCCTCCACAAGGGTTACTTTTAATCAGGTCCTAATTGGCACATGCATCGTCTTTGGATTCCAGTGACTTGCTTTGGGAGCAAATCTGCAGCTGAAAAGCAGGGAATAAATAAGGATCACCACCAATGCTCCCTCTAAGCTATGGAGTTTTGTGAGCAACAATTTTACTTTGTGAGCTACTGGCCTTAAAGTTGTGAACGAGCAATTGGGCTCCTGCATCAATTAGTTCGCTCTGGAGCCGTCCTTCCTGGGCTAAGAAAAAAATGTGTGAGCTGGAGGCTAAAAAATTGTGAGCTAGCTCACACTAACTCAGCTTAGAGGGAACTTTGATCACCACCAGTGTTCCCTCTAAGCTGAGTCAGTGTGAGCTAGCTCACGGTTTTTTAGCCTCCGGCTCACATATTTTTTGTCTTTGCTCAGGAAGGATGGTTCCAGAGCACACTGATTTATGCAGCAGCCAAATTCCTCGCTCACAACTTTAATGCCAGTCACTCACAAAGTGGAATTTTTGCTCACAGGACTCCACAGCTTAGAGGGAGCATTGATCACCACCGCCATTGATATTAGCCTCCATCCAAGAAGTTCAGGGTGGCATGCAATTTGTCCTCAAAACCACCCTGCACGGTAGGTTATGCTGAAAGAGACGGTCATCGGCTCAAAAGCAAGTTTCATGGCAGTGCGCCAATTTCAATCCGATTTGGGGTGGCTCCCGAATTCTAGACCAACATTCTACCTGCAACGCTGACTCTCCAGCCCAATACTGAATCTGGTTAGAAGGCAACCTGCAGAAGCTGCCTGGGTTGGGCTGTGTTCAGATGGGAGACTGCCGGAGAACTCCACATACATCACCCTGATGTACTGGGTAGAAGCCCGTCCTCGATCTACTGCCTATTATCTTCATTGGATGTCACTAAGTTTGAATATTTTGGAAGGGGAAAAAATTATCTGTTCTTTTTTTCTGTATCAGGCATAAATATGTACAATTCAAAATAACTCAGGCAAGTGAACCAAGTCACGTCCTACAGGGTAAGATGAGCTGACACAGAGCACTTTATAGATCCCTTCCAGCCCCCAAACAAAGTTACACTCAGATAAGAAGCTTCCTCACAGAATTGCTTGAGGACTTCCTCAAAGCAGGATAATGGACACAATGATGTACTTTAACCCCACAGCCAGAGCCTGATGGATTTCACATTTCTTTTCTCCAGAAGAGTGTGGAGAAGGAGGGCGTGGTGAAGAAGACATAGAATGCTTACAGCAACAAAGGCGTGGACCAAAGGTACCCAGAGGCCATCTAGCCTCATCTTGTGCTCTGAAAAGAGCCAGAATCCAGCAGCACCTTAAAGACTAACAAAATTTGTGGCAGGGTATGAGTTTTCGTGAGTCACTGCTCACTTCTTCAGATACAGCTAGAATAGGAGTCCATCTGTCCTATTTACTGGAAAGTGGAGAGATTTCAGATGCCAAATGACATAAGCAGGCAAATGACAATAGCAGGTATGATTGGATTAGGTGTGCTATGCAGAGGGGTAATAGGTGTGATCAGCATTGGTAATGAGACAGGAAGGGTGTGAACCGTGTGATCAGCATTGGTAATGAGACAGGAAACCTAGGTTTCAATTCAGTCCAGGTGGATGCAATGTCTTGAGCTTCATTATCAGTTGCAATTCAGCAGTCTCTCTTTCTAATCTCCCTTTGAAATTCCTTTGTAAGAAAACTGCTACTTTTAGGTCTGCAACTGAATGTCCTGGAAGGTTAAAATGTTCCTCTACTGGTTTTTGAATGTTGTGGTTCCTAATGTCAGACTTATATCCATCAATTCTTTGTTGAAGGGACTGGCCTGTTTGTCCAATGTAGACAGTGAAAGGGCTACCCATCTTGATCTTGTACTCTCTGAAGATAGATTCAGATGGGTAGCGATGTTGTTCTGAAGCAACAGAACAAAGTTTGAGTCCAGTGGCACCTTTAAGATGAACACAGTTTTACTCAAAGTATAAGCTTTCGAGTGCACGCACACTTCTTCAGATACATTGAAATGGAAGTTACCAGTCCATACATATAGCTAGAGGGTTAGCAGTAAATTAGCGCACAACATTATGAAGATGTTTAATAGATTCAAGGACCAAATAGGAATAACAAGCTTATATGGTTACCATTTGCTTGGGTTTAATTCTGGGGGGAAATTTAGGGAAGGAAATAAATGTGTCAAAATTGGAGTGCTGTGGAGTGGAACGCTGAGCGTAATCAACTGAGATCCGGCCATCTTGTACTCGGAAAAGAAGGACGCATCAGCTACAAGCAGCCCATTTTACTCAGATTAGAGTCCCAGATTAGAGTCCACGCTCCTAACCACTACACCAAACTGGCTCTGAAGTCTGTTGATCAAGGCATACACATGTAACGGATTAATCCGTATACATTTACAGAGAAAAGGAACAATCATTCTGAAGGGGAGCATGCTTTCTTTCGTATTAGGCAATACATAGAAAGCCATAAACTTGCCAATCTCCAGGTCTGGAATTGCCACTTATCTCCAGACCACAGAGATCAGTTCCCCTGGAGAAAATGGCTGCTTGGGAAGGTGGATTCCATGGCATCACATCCCCACTGCAATCCCTCCCCTCCTCGGGCTCAATCCCCAAATCTTCAGGAATTTACCTACCTGGAGCTGGCAACTCTAGGGAGCCACAGCAGACCACCCCCCACCCCACCCCCGTCTCAGAAGAGGCTTTCCCTTCCATGAAAGACAAAAGGCAGAAAGCCTCTTCTGAGACTGTGTCTGACACCCACGGATTTGCAAATCACATTTTAAGAAGTAAACAGAAGATACTCAGGGACGCTTTTTAAAATCAGCCAACCAAGGCCACAATCCCATGCACTTTTACTTTGGAGAAAGCTCCCCTGCCTTCAAAGGGATACTTCCGAGTATCTGCATAGGCAGGGGTCATTTCGTAGAAAAAGAGCTAGGGGAACTCATTAGCATAACTCATTAGCATATGCCACACCCCCTGGCATCAGGGGCCCGGCGGTGGACCTGCAAGGCCGGCGGGAGGGCGAGGAAGCCCCGCCAAGGCCCTCCCTGGCCCCAGGCAGGCAGGGGTGGGGAGAGTCGGGGAGGAAGCAACTTACCCTCCCTCTTCTCCTGCCTCCTCCTGGCTGAATGAGGGCCGGAAGCGGGGCGGCCGGAAGCAGGGGGCGGGGCTTCGTCATGTGCCCCGCCCCCCTGCACCTCACCCGGGGGAACTGCGATCCCCCGCGATTCCCCCCGAAATGACCTCTGTGCATAGGACTCAATTATGAACACCACTGAGCCCTGGAGGTGCCAGTCTCCAGGTGGGGCCTGGAGCTCTCCCAGAATTACAACTCACCTACAGGCTACAGAGATCTGTTCAGCTGGGGGAAATGGCTGCTTTGGACTCTATGACACTACACCCTGCAGAAGTCCCTCCCCAAACTCCCTCTCTCCCAAGCTCCACCCCCAAATCGCCAGGAACGTCCAACCTGGAGTTAGCAACCCTACTTATCAGCCATGAGTACCACCGATTATCCCTATGATGGGGCATCTCCCAGCCTTAAGCATTCTGCTCGTGGTGGTGGTAGTGGTGGGGCTTTCCCAGGCTGCAGATTCCCAGGGTGGAGTAAAAACTCCCCACAGAGGAGAAAGCCAGCCCCCTAAGTACCCACTTCCCAGATGCCACAATTCCAGCCCCGCTATTATGAGGGGCATCTCCCTTTGCCCTAGCACCAGTGTTCCCTCTAAGCTCAGTTAGTGTGAGCAAACTCACAGTTTTATAGCCTCCAGCTCACACATTTTAGTCTTAGCTCAGGAAGGATGGCTCCTAGGGTTGCCAGCCTCCAGGTGGGGCCTGGAGATCTCCCGCTTTTGCAACTGATCCCCATCTGACAGAGATCAGCTCCCCTGGAGAAAATGGCTGCTTTGAAGGGTAGACTCTGTGGCATGGTACACCATGCTGAGGCCCCTCCCCCCCCAACCCTGCCCTCTCCCGGATCCACCCCCAAAGTCTCCAGGTATTTTCCAAGCCAAACCTGGCATCCCTAACGGCCCCAGAGCAAACTAACTTATGCAGTAGCCAAATTGCTTGCTCACAACTTTAATGCCAGCAGCTCATCAAGTAGAATGTTTGCTCACGAGACCCCGCAGCTTAGAGGGAGCATTGGTCAAGGGGACTCCGCCACATATGCATTAAAAACGTGCGTTTGTAAATTAAGCTAGAAGAAAAATCCTGAAAGAAATGGCTTGATGAGGACTAGATTAGGAAGAGAGGGAGGAAGGAAGGAAGGAAGGAAGGAAGGAAGGAAGGAAGGAAGGAAGGAAGGAAGGAAGGAAGGAAGGAAGGAAGGAAGGAAGGATACAGTATGGGTGTGTCTAAAGGTGAACACTGGGCCAGTTTGAAGATCTCTGGTTGACATTCTAAATGATCCTCCCATTTGTCCTCTCCTGAAGTCTCCGTAGGGTTGCCAGCCCCCAGCTGGAGGCAGAGATCCCCCACTCCAGACCCCATCCTCCGATGTTCATCAGTTGACTGGCAGGGGGACGTACGGGCAGGAGAGGCAGGCGGCCACTGTTCCTGTGGCAACATAATTTCCAGCATGTACATGAAGTGACATCATCATGTCACAATGTCTCAGCGATGCTCTGGTATCTGAGCAAAAACTGTATGGTAGAAGCCATGTTTTTTTTCTCATTAACATTTTATTGGTAGGATTAAAACAATAAAACAAATATAACAATAAAAATATACATAAAGGTCATAAGAACAGTTATACATTCAAACCAACACACTAATTACAAAAAAAGGTAAGCTTTAAAGAATGATACATTCTTCAATAAATCTTTGAACAAAGTGACTTATTTTAGCCTCAATTTGTAATTGATGCCTGTACTGTTTGTTGCTTTAGATACAACCAAGTGTCTTCTGCCCTCAAGAATATCTGTAGACATTCAATGATATATCTAACCATATTAAACACAAAGTACTACCCACAATTCAAGTTTTACCAAAGCCTACTTACTATACTTTATTTGAACCATTAAAAAAATCCTCACAACCATTTAACATAGTTATACCAGGATGCTGAGATAAAATTTTTTGTCTGATAGAGCTTCTAAAAATGGCAACCATTTGGCTTCGAACCCAAAATGTACGACGTTCCTTTTATTTCTGTTAACTTTATGCCAGGAGCTCACAAAGTAGAATGTTTGCTCACAGGACTCCACAGCTTAGAGGGAGCGTTGGCACCCCCCCCACCACACACACACACACACCAGAAGTCACCCCACACACCAGCCCAGCACCCCCACTGCACAACGTCCCCATACAGGGACACCCCCCCCCGGAACCCCCGCACACCCCGGGGCCAGCAGGGGCGCCCCGCACTCCTCGCAAGGCCTCATATTTGGCCGGCAACACGACGGGGGCGCCCGCCTGAAGAGACCCAGCTGCCCCGCGCTTCTGATGATGATGAATGGGGGCAGACCCCCCCCCCCATGGAAGCCTCCATTTAATGCAGCCTCTCCCCCCCCCCTTCTTTCCCCGCCTGCTGGGGGGGGAGTCACCTCAGGACTCACCTGCCTGCCGCTCGCTTTCTGCCATCTTCCCGGAGCCGAGGAGCCGCCCGCCGCCTCTCACCTCTCACCGCCTGACAGAATACAATAACCGTCAGGCGGCCATCTTGGAGCGGGGCAGGCGCACGCACGACGTGGGAAGTCACGGCGACCCCTGCCGCCATGTTTGTAAAGGGCAGGCAGGTCCTCCCGTCGAAAAGCGCCTCCCCGTTGCACGACCGTGTCGCTTCATGGCCACCCGGGCTTGTTCTACAGACGCCAGTGACTCCTCAGTGGCCATATTGGCCAAGGGCAACTCCCCGTGTCTTCCTCGTGCGGCCATTTTGATGAAGGGCAGCTCCCTCCCGCAGGACTTAAATGGGTTGCGTGCGTTGTCGTCGGCCATAGTGAGGCAGGGCATTCGACCTCTGTAGTGGCCATGTTTGCAAAGGGCAGTTGTGCAAGTAGTATTAAGGGACGGTGGGTAAGGGGAGGCGGTAATACGGGTTCCTCGAATAAAGAAGGGAAAAGGGGAGCTTCTAATAGTAAAAGAGGCAACGTTAGAAGCAGCGTCGTTGTTAAACTTCAGTAATCGTTTTATCTTTTCCAAAAAGATGTGCAGGATTTAGTAGGGGAGGAGGGGATGAAAAGTATTACAGAAAATTTTAATTCTTGCACAGGGTTTCATTTTAAAAAAAAATCTGGCTATCTCTCAGCATATACAGAGTATCTTTTTTCTTACCAGAACATTTTTGAGACCCAAGATCAAGGCACCCCTGATCTTGCACAGACTGTTTTTTAAAAAAATATATAGACTGGATGTGTGTGAATGTATTTAAAGGTTTGTGCACTTTCATTTTTTAAAAAATAATTGGGTGACAGAACTAAGCAGGCTAAAGTATTTTACTCAGCTCTTTTGATATTTGTTTTCTTCAGCAACAGGTTGTTTTCTGTGCTAAAGGAGGAAGGAGCGAAAATACCTAAAGACTTTTGCATTTCCTCATTCATTTATTTACATATATTGTACTGTAGTCTATGACTGTAAGTTCTTTGCATCATAAAGTGTTTGCATAAAAGCTGATGCTACAATTTAGAATGCTAAGGCAGGGCTGCTAAGGCTTGAAGCACAAATTTTCTTGGCCCTGGCAGCTAGGGGTTGCCAACTCCAGGTGTGGGAATAAATGTGAGATGTTTGAGAGCTTCAAGACATGAACAAGTATTACACACATGTTTTTACTGGAAAATATGTAAATTTGCATTTTTCAGGGGTCATTTTGTAGAAAAAGAGGTGCAGGAGTTCATTAGCATAACTTATTAGCATATGCCCAGGGGTCATTTTGTAGAAAAAGAGGTGCAGGAGCTCATTAGCATAACCTATTAGCATAACTTATTTGCATATGCCACACCCCCTGACATCACTGGGAGTATGTCAGAAGGCAACACCCACCGTTCAGGCTCCACTGGACTGTTTTGGATTGCTAGCTATTGGGGGTGGGTGGGAACGTGCTGATCTGTCCTCGCAGTGGCTGCAACTTACCTGGTTGCTTCTTGTTCTGATTGAGGGCTGCTGGGAGCAGAGGGTGGGGCTTGTTGCATGTGCCCGCCCCCTGGGCTCCTTACTGCCGGAGCTCCGCTCCTGTGCACTCCTACAGGAGATGACCCCTGCTTTTTATTAATATTAAATGAGACTGCCAAAAATAAAAACAAAAGGGGTAAAAACAGATATGGATACTGATATTTATTTATCCAATTATACTTGTAGACTGGGGGAGGGGGGCTTTGAGAATGCATTTAAAGTTAAAGCTGCTTTCTTTCTGTGCTCCCCACACACACACACCTCAAGCCTTCCCAGGGAGGGGAACACTGGCTGGGGAAGGGAAGACCGATTGGGGAGGCATGCCTCCTCTTTTCTTCCCCAGCCGCCCCTCTGGGAAGCGCACAACATGTGTGAAAGAGCCGCATGTGGCTCCCGAGCTGCAGTTTGACCACCCCTGGCATAGAGACTGCCCTCCAGAGTCGCCTTTTCTCCAGGGCAACTGATATCTGTCCTCTGGAAATCAATTGTGATTCTGGGAGATCTGCAGGCCCCACCCTGTGGTTGGCTGCCCTAGGCCCTTGGTCACTGTCAGTGGTCTATAGAGTTAGGCAAGTAATACTATTGGTTTTTCTATTATGTTTGGTAGTGAAGGTGAGAGTCTAGTGGGAATGTTTGGTGGAGAGAAGGTCTGTGGTGACTCTGGGTGCCCGAGAATCAGGGGTCATTTCCTGCAGGAGTGCACAGGAGCGGAGCTCCGGCAGTAAACAGCCCAGGGGTCGGGCACATGCAACAAGCCCCGCCCCCTGCTCCCAGCAGCCCTCAGTCAGAACAAGAAGCAGCCAGGTAAGTTTGTGTTGCCTTCTGACACACATCCGGTGATGTCAGGGGGTGTGGCATATGCAAATAAGTTATACTAATGAGTTATGATGAGCTCCTGCACCTCTTTTTCTACAAAATGACCCCTGCGGAGAATAATTTTGGGTGCTATGTGACAGTGTTGGAATGGATGGGCCATTGGCCCGATCCAACATTGGCTTCTCTTATGTTCTCAATGTTTGGTTTTGCTGCAACTGAATAACACAATTACTGCTCTGAATTTTTATCCTTGTAAAGATGCTGTTAACATCCATTTAAGGATAGTGTGGTGTTGAGTAGTATTTTTTTTAATGTCTTCTAGAAGAATGAAGCTAAAAGTGTGAAGATTTAAGTTTGAATTTAGTGGCACCCTTAAGACCAAATGAGTTTTATTCTGGGTGTGCGCACGCACACTTCTTCAGATACAATGAAATGGAAATAACCAGTCCATACAAAGTACAGCAGTAAATTAGCATACAGCATAATGAAGATGTTTAACAGATTCAAGGACCAAACAGGAATAACAAGCTTAATTTATTTGGTCACCATTTGTTTGGGTTTAATTCCGGGGGAAATTCTGGGCAGTAGAGTGAACACCAGAATGATCGACTGGGGTTGCCAGGTCTGAGTTGGGAAATTCCTGGAGATTTATGGGTGGAGCCTGAGAAGGGTGCAGGTCAGAGCACGGCATAACACAGTCCACCCTCCAAAACTGCCCATTTCCTCCAGGGGAACTGATCTCTGCAGTCTGGAGACCAGTTGTAATTCCAGATCTCCAGGCTCCACCTGGAGATTGGCAACTGTTCCTTGTGATTTTCAAAATTCTTTCATGAATGCATATAAGGGTTATTCTATTATTGTCCCACCAATCTTCCAAAGAATTCAGGATAGCAGGCATCTCCCCCGACCCCCCCACTTCCCCAACCGGCATCCACATTTATTCTTGCAATTGTGTGGCCTAAGTTTATGTAGGAAAGCATATGAATTTGAACCCAGATCTCCCTGGCCAAAGTCCCTGATCTTTGTATCATACTGAATAATAATCATAGTTAGGACTCCAGTGTGTAAATTTATTTTCATTCCAGTGAGTGAACTCTGTTGGAGCAAAAATAAAAAAAGAGGCTTGTGGCATCTGAAAGACTACAGAATTTGATTTCAGTATAAGCTTTCATTGACTGGTGCATTTGAAGAAATGCAGACTCATGAAAGTATCTGCTGGAATTTTTAAAAATGTTTAAGGTGTCTTGAATCTATATTAAACGCCACCTGGATTAGTTTTATTGCATGTATTGTATTATTTTAATTGTTAAATTGTTTAAGGTAAAGGTTTCCCTTGCTCGAAAGCCAGTCGAATCCGACTCTAGGGTTGTGGTGCTCATCTCCGTTTCCGAACCGAAGAGCCAGCGCTGTCCAAAGACTTCTCTGTGGTCATGTGGCCGGCATGACTAAACGGTCAGGCGCACGGAACGCTGTTTCCTTCCCACTGAAGTGGTACCTATTTATCTACTTGCAATTTCTTGCTTTCGAACTGCTAGGTTGCCAGGAGCTGGAACCAGAGACGGGAGCTCACTCTGTCATGCGGCACGCAGGTCTCGAACTGCTGAACTACCGATGCAAATAAGTTATACTAATGAGTTATGCTAATGAGCTCCTGCACCTCTACTACAAAATGACCCCTGCGGAGAATAATTTTGGGTGCTATGTGACAGTGTTGGAATGGATGGGCCATTGGCCCGATCCAACATTGGCTTCTCTTATGTTCTCAATGTTTGGTTTTGCTGCAACTGAATAACACAATTACTGCTCTGAATTTTTATCCTTGTAAAGATGCTGTTAACATCCATTTAAGGATAGTGTGGTGTTGAGTAGTATTTTTTTTAATGTCTTCTAGAAGAATGAAGCTAAAAGTGTGAAGATTTAAGTTTGAATTTAGTGGCACCCTTAAGACCAAATGAGTTTTATTCTGGGTGTGCGCACGCACACTTCTTCAGATACAATGAAATGGAAATAACCAGTCCATACAAAGTACAGCAGTAAATTAGCATACAGCATAATGAAGATGTTTAACAGATTCAAGGACCAAACAGGAATAACAAGCTTAATTTATTTGGTCACCATTTGTTTGGGTTTAATTCCGGGGGAAATTCTGGGCAGTAGAGTGAACACCAGAATGATCGACTGGGGTTGCCAGGTCTGAGTTGGGAAATTCCTGGAGATTTATGGGTGGAGCCTGAGAAGGGTGCAGGTCAGAGCACGGCATAACACAGTCCACCCTCCAAAACTGCCCATTTCCTCCAGGGGAACTGATCTCTGCAGTCTGGAGACCAGTTGTAATTCCAGATCTCCAGGCTCCACCTGGAGATTGGCAACTGTTCCTTGTGATTTTCAAAATTCTTTCATGAATGCATATAAGGGTTATTCTATTATTGTCCCACCAATCTTCCAAAGAATTCAGGATAGCAGGCATCTTCCCCGACCCCCCCACTTCCCCAACCGGCATCCACATTTATTCTTGCAATTGTGTGGCCTAAGTTTATGTAGGAAAGCATAGGAATTTGAACCCAGATCTCCCTGGCCAAAGTCCCTGATCTTTGTATCATACTGAATAATAATCATAGTTAGGACTCCAGTGTGTAAATTTATTTTCATTCCAGTGAGTGAACGTGTTACTCTGTTGGAGCAAAAATTAAAAAAGAGCCATGTGGCATCTGAAAGACTACAGAATTTGATTTCAGTATAAGCGTTCATGGACTG